GTTGAATGTTCTTTCCATGTGTAATCATATGCTGCCCAAACACAATTTGATAAGGAGTTTTGCCTGTTGTCTCATGTTTGGTGTTTCTAAGAGCGCAATTGACACTTGGAAGATATGCATCCCATTGTCTGTGATCCTCCCTTGCATATGATCGAAGGGCATTAGCCTGAGGACTGTAAACGGCTGTATACATAGGCTGCACCTCAAATTGAGACAGAAAATTTTCGAATTCCCTACTTTTAAATTGGGTCCCGTTGTCGGAAACAAGAACTTCAGGAACGCCATAACATGTAAATATCTCATCTTTCAAATACGTAATAATGGGCTTTGCCATCAATTTCTTCAATGGCTTTAGAAAACTAAATTTTGAAAAATGGTCTAAAACGATTAAAATACCTATATGTCCACTTCGTGTACGAGGGAATGGTCCAATAATGTCAATATAGAGTCTTTGGAAAGGTCTCTGCATTATTACCATTTTACCCATCGGGGGTCGTAATGCTATAGCAGGAGCCTTTGATGTTTTGCAAACCTCACATTTATTTATATATTTCTTTACATCGGCCACTAATTTAGGCCAATAGAAATACCTCCTAATTACCTCTATTGTTTTAGTAATACCACAATGTGCAGCGTTTGGTATATCATGAGCAGAATAAATAATCTCGGCACGTAATTTTGATGGCACTACCAACTTCCAAGAACTCTGTTCATCTTCATCCACTCCAGCAAACTTCGACCTTCTATAAATAAGTTTATCCTCAACACTAAAATCAGGATGATTCGTATTCTGCACTTCTACTCTTAATTTGGCATATTCTTCTTCATTAAAAGCGATTGTGAAATTAAAGCTCAGTAATTTTAACGCCCATCTTGCTAATCTCCCAGACAAATCTCCCTGCTTCATAAGCCATTTCAGACTGGCATGGTCAGTGATTACGTCGAATTCGTGTCCTTCTATGTATGCCCTATACTTTTTAATTGCTAACACTACAGCTAAGCACTCCAACTCTGTTATAGTATAATTCCGTTGGGCTTTATTCAGCTTCTGGGACATATGCGCTATGGGCCTCTCATTACCGTCGCAATCCTCCTGAGCCAAAACAGCTCCAACGCCAACAGTACTTGCATCGCATTGCAGTATGAATGGTTTATCAAAGTTTGGGTGGATCAAGACCGGTGCATGGCATAGTTTGGATTTCAAGTCATCGAACGATTTCTGAGCACTGTCGTTGCATTTAAAAGTTTTCTTCTTAGATAGCAACTCAGTTAAGGGAAAGGTTAAGGTAGAAAAATCAGCGATAAAACGCCGGTACCAACCGATCATTCCTAAAAATTGACGTAATGTGCGTACCGAAGTTGGAAATTCGATTATAGCTTTCACCTTCTCTGAATCCACGCTCAACGAACCTTCTCCCACGACGTATCCTAAATACTAAACCTGCTTTAAAACGAAACTACTTTTTTTACATTAATAGTAAGTCCCGCCTTTCTAAATTGTTTTGCTACTTCTTGAAGGTGTTGCAAATGTTCCTCAAAACTTTCCGACATTATCAATAAATCGTCTAGATAAACGAAAATATGTGTTTTCATATTATATGGAATTACCTGATCCATAAGGCGACACATTGTCTGGGGTGCGTTGCACAATCCGAATGGCATTCTGTTAAATTGGTATAGTGGCCTGTTTGGAATCGTGAAAGCTGTTTTTGGTTTGGATGTCTCATCTAATTTGATTTGCCAAAATGCATCTTTAAGATTCACTTTGGAAATAAATTTTACTGATGGCAACCTTTACAAAATTCCCTCTATATTAGGGATGGGATATGAATCCTTAATGGTGACGGAATTAAGTTCCCTGCTATCTACACAAAATCTGACCTTGTCAGGTTTAACTATTAACACTCCCGGTGATGACCATGGTGACTGGGGACACTCCTCAATCACTCCAAGCGACAACATTCTGTCGATTTCTTGACATAGGATCTTTTCTTTGGCAGGTGATATCGGATAGTATCTCTGCTATATCGGTTTTGAATCCCCTGTATCTATTGAATGTTCAACCAAATGGGTACACCCCAATCCTTCTCGTTCTGAACTCGGGAATAATTCGACAATCGCATCCAATTTCCGTCTCTGTTCTACTGACAAATCTATAAATTCATCATCCGAAACTGCAACCTCATCAATTTCACCATTCATGGCTATCGAAATATTAAATTTCTTCCAAAAGTCAATTCCACACACTATCTCTTGTTTTATGGACGGAATAACCAAAAATTCGAAATTATATTCTCTCTCTTGGTACATAAATTTAACCGTAACTATGTCAGATATTTTCTGTATCTGACCATCGGCAGTCCTAACATCTCCATTCCCCTTCCTAAATTCTGGTAACTCTTGAATTTTTTGACTTAGCTCTCCTCCAATAACACTCTTGTTAGCCCCACTATCTAATAAAGCTAAATATATATTTTGCTCACACATATCAGCCTCCTCTGTTTCGCTAACACATTGAAGATCATTAATGTAAACTTCGGCCACTTGACCTTTGTCTCGATATCTGCTCCATTTATTAGCAGTTTGCAACTCCTTGACTGATTTCCGAAGTTGAGAAGCGCTTGTTATTTCTAGATGCAGCAACTCGTGCCTTATCTCTGATCTAAGATTGCGAATCATAGTTTCACAAAGTTCCTCATCCGACATCGGCACTCGAAGACGATCAGTTACTGTCATTATCGAATCATAAAATTCGTTGAAACTTTCACCCTGTCGCTGTTTCCTACGACGAATGTCATCTTTCAAATCAAAATAATTGAAACAATCCTTATACTGGATCTTTAATGAAGCGCATAATCCTGCCCAATCTAATATCTCATTCTGGCGATGATATCTCCAATACCATTCAAGTGCGTTGCCTTCAAACAATATATGAATATATTTACATAACAAATGAAAATTCCCAGCAAGGGTATTGGAGGTCATAATGTTCACTCTGTAAATAAACTCTTCTACCGGTATGTCCTTATTATAACCCGAAAAAGTTAACTTCCAATTACGAATAGTATTCATAACCTTTTCGGGATTATTTTGTAATGTATTCAAATTTGGATCTCTGTCTAAACCAGATGTATTTGATATTCCTCTAAGTTCAGTAGCATTATGATTGACATGTATGCCCTGTACTAATCTCGTAACTTCATTCATAATGGAAGATGATATTTCGTTACGCATCTCAGAAATAGATATTTCTCCTTGCCATACTAGCAGAAAGGGTCCTACGACGGTCTTAATCTAAGTCTCACCTCCTAGACCTAGTTCTATGTACCACACCTGGCGAAGAAGAATCATTTCCCTCTAATACAAAAGATAAATTAGCGTGTACATCACTATTAGTGTTCCTCTCACTACTACGTGTAACCGGCATTATGTTCTCACTTGAATATATAATCGGATTTAAGATAAAATATTATTCTGACTTAATAAAACCAGAGAAAAAACAGAAATTATATACGTTAATACAACAATCAATAAAGTTCAGTTGCTACTCGGATAAAGGTATTCCAGTGTAGGTGTTGTTCTGTTGTAACATCATCATATTAGGAAATAAATGAACTCAAGATTATAGGGTATCCTCTCAGCGATAATCCCAAGAATACAAATCCACAATAATTATAAGTTGCATTTAAAGATATCAGTGAACTAATGCAGTGGTAATAAATCGACATAAAATCATTTCATTAAGTCCTATTTGCGATAGTTCAAAGATAAAAGTAAGATAGAATAGAAAAGTGGGTAGAAACATTCATTTATAGACGGCAGCGGCAATTAAACGATTCTACCATTTAAGAAAATCCATTCTGCCATTATTTAAAGGAATGATGATAGGAGAGAAGAAGTCCTTTTAAAGAATTTTGGTACGCAATTCGCACTGGCTAAAATCGAAAATCCGAAATTCTTTTGAAGATCTTAGTGTTAATAAGAATATAAAGATTGGGACCAGCATTAAGGTGTAAAATTACTATGTTTCAAATAGTCAGAAATCGACATGTTGCTGGCATCACGTTGGGCGCCATTTAATTTATGTAACGAACCACCACGAGGGCCCTACTTCCTTTATGTTTGGCTACCTCCTTGCCCCGGCCGTGCTCAGTCTTGGGGCAGTTCTTTCACGTTAGAAGTAGGCTCGGTGTCGATAGCATAAAAGTAAAATAAGGTAGCCCTTTTATAAGATAGAATAGATAGAGAATGAATAGAATGAAAGGAGAAAAGAGAGAGAGAGAGATGATGATGTTACTACATGCGACAGTGCCAGATGTAATTTCACGATTGTTGATATTCACGATTAAAAAGCCATTAGTTGATGGTGAACATACAAACAAATTGATGGATAATTGCGAATGTTTGATTCCCGCTTCAGCGGGATTCGCTCCAAAATTGTAAACCTTCTATTTTTTTCTCTGGGTTTTTTAAAGATTTACAGTTCTGTTCAAATCCGAAAATGTCGTGTATTGGTTTAAGAATGCCCGGGCCGCCCAGAAACATGCTGAAATGCGTGGTGGATATAGAACATAATATGGGTACTGAAGCGCTGGTCGCAGCAGCAGCTGCCTCCAGAAATATGCTGAAATGCGTGGTGGATATAGAACATAATATGGGTACTGAAGCGCTGGTCGCAGCAGCTGGTCGCAGCAGCAGCTGCCTCCGCTGCGGCACTAGCTGGTTTTCATGCCGGCTCAACGGCGGGCATGCATCATCATGCCAGTTTATCACATTCACAATTTTCCAATCAAACAACATATACGCGCAGCTACAGAAATGGTTTCAGGAAAATCGCCGTTCATCAAGGCAGCAGATACTGGCCTATGTAGTGCAATTGAATGCCTTGGAATCGCGCCGTGGCCGCAAGCCTTTGGATATCAATAATGTCGTGTATTGGTTTAAGAATGCCCGGGCCGCCCAGAAACATGCTGAAATGCGTGGTGGATATAGAACATAATATGGGTACTGAAGCGCTGGTCGCAGCAGCAGCTGCCTCCGCTGCGGCACTAGCTGGTTTTCATGCCGCCTCAACGGCGGGCATGCATCATCATGCCAGTTTATCACATTCACAATTTTCCAATCAAAAGACACGTACGCGCACAAGTTTTGATCCCGAAATGGAATTGCCGCAGCTACAGAAAAGGTTTCAGGAAAATCGCCATCCATCAAGGCAGCAGATACAGGCCTATGTAGTGCAATTGAATGCCTTGGAATCGCGCCGTGGCCGCAAGCCTTTGGATATCAATAATGTCGTGTATTGGTTTAAGAATGCCCGGGCCGCCCAGAAGCAGCTGCCTCCGCTGCCTCCGCTGCGGCACTAGCTGGTTTTCATGCCGCCTCAACGGCGGGCATGCATCATCATGCCAGTTTATCACATTCACAATTTTCCAATCAAAAGACACGTACGCGCACAAGTTTTGATCCCGAAATGGAATTGCCGCAGCTACAGAAAAGGTTTCAGGAAAATCGCCATCCATCAAGGCAGCAGATACAGGCCTATGTGGTGCAATTGAATGCCTTGAAATCGCGCCGTGGCCGCAAGCCATTGGATATCAATAATGTCGTGTATTGGTTTAAGAATGCCCGGGCCGCCCAGAAACATGCTGAAATGCGTGGTGGATATAGAACATAATATGGGTACTGAAGCGCTGGTCGCAGCAGCAGCTGCCTCCAGAAATATGCTGAAATGCGTGGTGGATATAGAACATAATATGGGTACTGAAGCGCTGGTCGCAGCAGCAGCTGCCTCCGCTGCGGCACTAGCTGGTTTTCATGCCGCCTCAACGGCGGGCATGCATCATCATGCCAGTTTATCACATTCACAATTTTCCAATCAAAAGACACACATATACGCGCAGCTACAGAAATGGTTTCAGGAAAATCGCCGTTCATCAAGGCAGCAGATACTGGCCTATGTAGTGCAATTGAATGCCTTGGAATCGCGCCGTGGCCACTAGCCTTTGGATATCAATAATGACGTGTAGTGGTTTAAGAATGCCCGGGCCGCCCAGAAACATGCTGAAATGCGTGGTGGATATAGAACATAATATGGGTACTGAAGCGCTGGTCGCAGCAGCAGCTGCCTCCGCTGCGGCACTAGCTGGTTTTCATGCCGCCTCAACGGCGGGCATGCATCATCATGCCAGTTTATCACATTCACAATTTTCCAATCAAAAGACACGTACGCGCACAAGTTTTGATCCCGAAATGGAATTGCCGCAGCTACAGAAAAGGTTTCAGGAAAATCGCCATCCATCAAGGCAGCAGATACAGGCCTATGTGGTGCAATTGAATGCCTTGAAATCGCGCCGTGGCCGCAAGCCATTGGATATCAATAATGTCGTGTATTGGTTTAAGAATGCCCGGGCCGCCCAGAAACATGCTGAAATGCGTGGTGGATATAGAACATAATATGGGTACTGAAGCGCTGGTCGCAGCAGCAGCTGCCTCCAGAAATATGCTGAAATGCGTGGTGGATATAGAACATAATATGGGTACTGAAGCGCTGGTCGCAGCAGCAGCTGCCTCCGCTGCGGCACTAGCTGGTTTTCATGCCGCCTCAACGGCGGGCATGCATCATCATGCCAGTTTATCACATTCACAATTTTCCAATCAAAAGACACGTACGCGCACAAGTTTTGATCCTGAAATGGAATTGCCGCAGCTACAGAAAAGGTTTCAGGAAAATCGCCATCCATCAAGGCAGCAGATACAGGCCTATGTAGTGCAATTGAATGCCTTGAAATCGCGCCGTGGCCGCAAGCCATTGGATATCAATAATGTCGTGTATTGGTTTAAGAATGCCCGGGCCGCCCAGAAACATGCTGAAATGCGTGGTGGATATAGAACATAATATGGGTACTGAAGCGCTGGTCGCAGCAGCAGCTGCCTCCGCTGCGGCACTAGCTGGTTTTCATGCCGCCTCAACGGCGGGCATGCATCATCATGCCAGTTTATCACATTCACAATTTTCCAATCAAAAGACACGTACGCGCACAAGTTTTGATCCTGGAATGGTTTCAGGAAAATCGCCATCCATCAAGGCAGCAGATACAGGCCTATGTGGTGCAATTGAATGCCTTGAAATCGCGCCGTGGCCGCAAGCCATTGGATATCAATAATGTCGTGTATTGGTTTAAGAATGCCCGGGCCGCCCAGAAACATGCTGAAATGCGTGGTGGATATAGAACATAATGGGTACTGAAGCGCTGGGTACTGAAGCGCTGGTCGCAGCAGCAGCTGCCTCCAGAAACATGCTGAAATGCGTGGTGGATATAGAACATAATATGGGTACTGAAGCGCTGGTCGCAGCAGCAGCTGCCTCCGCTGTGGCACTAGCTGGTTTTCATGCCGCTTCAACGGCGGGCACGCATCATCATGCCAGTTTATCACATTCACAATTTTCCAATCAAAAGACACGTACGCCCACAAGTTTTGGTCCCGTAATGGAATTGCGACAGCTACAGAAATGGTTTCAGGAAAATCGCCATCCATCAAGGCAGCAGATACAGGCCTATTTAGGTTTCAGCAATTGAATGCCTTGAAATCGCGCCGTGGCCGCATGCCATTGGATATCAATAATGTCGTGTATTGGTTTAAGAATGCCCGGGCCGCCCAGAAACATGCTGAAATGCGTGGTGAATATAGAACATAATATGGGTACTGAAGCGCTGATCGCAGCAGCAGCTGCCTCCAGAAATATGCTGAAATGCGTGGTGGATAGAGAACATAATATGGGTACTGAAGCGCTGGTCGAGGCAGTAGCTGCCTCCGCTGCGGCACTAGCTGGTTTTCATGCCGCCTCAACGGCGGGCATGCATCATCATGCCAGTTTATCACATTCACAATTTTCCAATCAAAAGACACGTACGCGCACAAGTTTTGATCCCGAAATGGAATTGCCGCAGCTACAGAAAAGGTTTCAGGAAAATCGCCATCCATCAAGGCAGCAGATACAGGCCTATGTGGTGCAATTGAATGCCTTGAAATCGCGCCGTGGCCGCAAGCCATTGGATATCAATAATGTCGTGTATTGGTTTAAGAATGCCCGGGCCGCCCAGAAACATGCTGAAATGCGTGGTGGATATAGAACATAATATGGGTACTGAAGCGCTGGTCGCAGCAGCAGCTGCCTCCAGAAATATGCTGAAATGCGTGGTGGATATAGAACATAATATGGGTACTGAAGCGCTGGTCGCAGCAGCAGCTGCCTCCGCTGCGGCACTAGCTGGTTTTCATGCCGCCTCAACGGCGGGCATGCATCATCATGCCAGTTTATCACATTCACAATTTTCCAATCAAAAGACACGTACGCGCACAAGTTTTGATCCCGGAATGGAATTGCGGCAGCTACAGAAATGGTTTCAGGAAAATCGCCATCCATCAAGGCAGCAGATACAAGCCTATGTAGTGCAATTGAATGCCTTGGAATCGCGCCGTGGCCGCTAGCCATTGGATATCAATAATGTCGTGTATTGGTTTAAGAATGCCCGGGCCGCCCAGAAACATGCTGAAATGCGTGGTGGATATAGAACATAATATGGGTACTGAAGCGCTGGTCGCAGCAGCAGCTGCCTCCGCTGCGGCACTAGCTGGTTTTCATGCCGCCTCAACGGCGGGCATGCATCATCATGCCAGTTTATCACATTCACAATTTTCCAATCAAAGAACACGTACGCGCACAAGTTTTGATCCCGAAATGGAATTGCCGCAGCTACAGAAAAGGTTTCAGGAAAATCGCCATCCATCAAGGCAGCAGATACAGGCCTATGTGGTGCAATTGAATGCCTTGAAATCGCGCCGTGGCCGCAAGCCATTGGATATCAATAATGTCGTGTATTGGTTTAAGAATGCCCGGGCCGCCCAGAAACATGCTGAAATGCGTGGTGGATATAGAACATAATATGGGTACTGAAGCGCTGGTCGCAGCAGCAGCTGCCTCCAGAAATATGCTGAAATGCGTGGTGGATATAGAACATAATATGGGTACTGAAGCGCTGGTCGCAGCAGCAGCTGCCTCCGCTGCGGCACTAGCTGGTTTTCATGCCGCCTCAACGGCGGGCATGCATCATCATGCCAGTTTATCACATTCACAATTTTCCAATCAAAAGACACGTACGCGCACAAGTTTTGATCCCGAAATGGAATTGCCGCAGCTACAGAAAAGGTTTCAGGAAAATCGCCATCCATCAAGGCAGCAGATACAGGCCTATGTGGTGCAATTGAATGCCTTGAAATCGCGCCGTGGCCGCAAGCCATTGGATATCAATAATGTCGTGTATTGGTTTAAGAATGCCCGGGCCGCCCAGAAACATGCTGAAATGCGTGGTGGATATAGAACATAATATGGGTACTGAAGCGCTGGTCGCAGCAGCAGCTGCCTCCAGAAATATGCTGAAATGCGTGGTGGATATAGAACATAATATGGGTACTGAAGCGCTGGTCGCAGCAGCAGCTGCCTCCGCTGCGGCACTAGCTGGTTTTCATGCCGCCTCAACGGCGGGCATGCATCATCATGCCAGTTTATCACATTCACAATTTTCCAATCAAAAGACACGTACGCGCACAAGTTTTGGTCCCGTAATGGAATTGCGACAGCTACAGAAATGGTTTCAGGAAAATCGCCATCCATCAAGGCAGCAGATACAGGCCTATTTAGGTTTCAGGAAAATCGCCATCCATCAAGGCAGTAGATACAGGCCTATGTGGTGCAATTGAATGCCTTGAAATCGCGCCGTGGCCGCAAGCCATTGGATATCAATAATGTCGTGTATTGGTTTAAGAATGCCCGGGCCGCCCAGAAACATGCTGAAATGCGTGGTGGATATAGAACATAATATGGGTACTGAAGCGCTGGTCGCAGCAGCAGCTGCCTCCAGAAATATGCTGAAATGCGTGGTGGATATAGAACATAATATGGGTACTGAAGCGCTGGTCGCAGCAGCAGCTGCCTCCGCTGCGGCACTAGCTGGTTTTCATGCCGCCTCAACGGCGGGCATGCATCATCATGCCAGTTTATCACATTCACAATTTTCCAATCAAAAGACACGTACGCGCACAAGTTTTGATCCCGAAATGGAATTGCCGCAGCTACAGAAAAGGTTTCAGGAAAATCGCCATCCATCAAGGCAGCAGATACAGGCCTATGTGGTGCAATTGAATGCCTTGAATCGCGTCGTCGCGCCGTGGCCGCAAGCCATTGGATATCAATAATGTCGTGTATTGGTTTAAGAATGCCCGGGCCGCCCAGAAACATGCTGAAATGCGTGGTGGATATAGAACATAATATGGGTACTGAAGCGCTGGTCGCAGCAGCAGCTGCCTCCAGAAATATGCTGAAATGCGTGGTGGATATAGAACATAATATGGGTACTGAAGCGCTGGTCGCAGCAGCAGCTGCCTCCGCTGCGGCACTAGCTGGTTTTCATGCCGCCTCAACGGCGGGCATGCATCATCATGCCAGTTTATCACATTCACAATTTTCCAATCAAAGAACACGTACACGCACAAGTTTTGATCCTGAAATGGAATTGCCGCAACTACAGAAATGGTTTCAGGAAAATCACCATCCATCAAGGCAGCAGATACAGGCCTATGTGGTGCAATTGAATGCCTTGAAATCGCGCCGTGGCC